AATAAAATTAACTTAAATTTTTTTCTTCTGATCCTATTAAAAAAGCTAAATATATCTTACTAAGAATCTATGAAAAAATATTGGATATTTTTATTAAAAATAATTTTTATATAAAAATAAATGCTATTCAAAATATCTAACACCATTTGGTTGTTTCATGATAATGATGGATAGTTTAAGGTTCTCTATTTTGTAAGTTTTAAATTTAATTCATCATTTAAGTTGTTTGCTATTAATGTTATTCATTCATTAAATTGATTAATTATAAATTTCTATTTTCCATTTGTTTTATTTATTCTGATTAATCATTTATCTTATTTACTAATTCTTATGTCTACTTTTCCTTTTATATTTGCTATTAATTTAAAGCGCTCTTTATTTTTTTCTATTCCTCCAGTTGATTACTAAGTAGTTTTATTTCTGAGGTTCTATCTTTGTTTTAAGTTTAAAGTTGTTAAATTTACTATTCATAATTCTTAATTTTTAAATCTTATTAAACTATTTAAGAATTGATCTCTTAAATATTGTTTTCAAATATAGAATTTAACTCTATCATATTTTCTTCTTATTAAGTAATTACCATATTTAGCTATTCTTTTGTTTATAAAATTTCAAGTCTTTAACTTATTAATTTATTCATATTCTTTAATTAATCTTTGGCAATAATTTATAAAATTTTTAAATCATCATATCCCTGGATAAGATTAGAAAATTATGAATAATATTTAAATATCTAAATGAAATTATTGCTACGTGTTACTATATCATCCTATATCGAAAGACTTTTTGCCAATTGTTCACAAGTTTAAATATATTTGGTATACCATTCAAAAGATGATTCCTTATCTATTTTATTGATTAAATCCAATAATTTTTCCATTGATGCTATTGTTGTCTGATTTTATAAATTAGATAATTATTAAAATTTGTTATCAAAAAATTCGGACAAGACAATCCCATATTTTTCAATAGTTTTTGTTATGCTATTTCTTAAATAATCACTTATCATTTGGCTTTTAGGTAGTTTTTAAGATTGAATTTTAATTGATTACATTTATTCAATATGTTTCCACACAATTTATCTTTATTTATAATTGAAAATATTTTATAGTTCATTGTTATTTTAAGCCTTTCTTAATACAAGTATTTTATCTATTGATTATAATTTATTGACAGCTCTTAAATCCTCTTTTATTTTATTTTACAATTAAATATCACTGAAGTTTTCTAAATAGCAATTTAAGAATAAATTATATTTTTCGATATCAATATTTCCTTTTAAGCAGAATTGGTTGATAAATTCTTAAAGATCTGATCCTCTATTTGGAAGACTATTTAAAGGATTGTTTATTACATAAATAACCTTTATTGGACCTAAAGAAACAATCTTATGAAATAAAAGTTCAAACAATAATTAATCTTGTTCCCCATTTGTGTCTTAGAATCCAGGAAAATCTATAATTAAATGATTATTGAATTCATTATAATAAAAATTTGGTTCTTTTGTGATTGAGTTCATACCTGAAGCCATTTTAGAAAAATTTTTTGAGGGATTCTTAACTTCTAATTCTAATTTATGATTAAATATAAAATCTGCTCCACTTAAGAAGTTGAAAATAGTGCTTTTTCCAGATCCTGTTACTCCAACTATTAAAACAACAGACATATTTTATTTTTTATTCTTATTAAATTGATCAATTAGTTTTTAAAATCTTACCATGATTTCCAATAATTTCTGTTCATTCATTTTTTCGTTCTATTCTTATTCTTTGTTTTTAAATTATAGACCTTAGTTATATTAACTTTAAAATTTGGATTGATCTTTGATATTCGATTCTTGATATTAGTTAAACTGAGTTGGATTAGAGAATTGATTTATGTTATCAGATTTTTTATTTTAGTCATACTAAGATTTCTATTTGTCATGCTGTATACAAGACCAATCTGTAAACTATAACTACAACATTTCCTCATCTATGTTATCTAATTCCTCATAATAGTGATAAGGTGTTTGATATTTAGATTGATCATTTTTCTACATTGTTGTAATTCTAATAATATTTTTTCAATAATTTATTAGCTTAAAATTAATCGAAATTCTATCAAATTACCTAATAGAATTACTAAATAATTATTTAAGAACTAAAGCTCAATAATTATGTTAAGCAAACATAATTGTGAATTTAATTACTTTTATCAACTAACTAAAAAATATTAATATTTATATCATCTTTCAAAGACTTAGCTTATAATTCAATTTTTAAAAAAAATTACATAATATTTGACCTTAAATTTATCAAGAGGGATATTTGACTTTGTAAATTAATATTTGAATAATAACAAAATAAATTTAATCTAAAAATTATTCAATTAACATTTTTAATTTTTATTATAGAAGATTTAAATATTTTCCTTAAATGGGTTTATCTTTAGCATATTTGTAAAATTTCGAAATTTTAATTTCAGATTCCTTTAGATCCACACAGGCTCCACAATTTGAAGGACAAAGCAAACAATTTCCTTCTAACCTCTAAAGTCTCCTAAATGTTTCTTCACAAAGAATAAATATTGAATTTAGCATTTTGAACAATATTTATCACATTTTATAAAAATCTGAATTTAATTTATATCGAGAATGAAATATCTAATGAAATTTAATATTTATTGTTTCTAAATATATATGAAAAATAATCTATGCAATTATCTAAGTTGCACAGTTTTGTTGAAATAACGAAATATAATAATCTGAAGGTTATCATGCAAAATTTACAAGATTATTTTTCATCCTGCTATTCACAATTACTTATGTATTAAAGACATAATTACTAAAATTTATAGATCTTCAAAAGTAACACAACTAGCACAACTTTTATAACTTTTGCTTTTATTTTCAATATTTTTATTATAATTTAGGTTTAATTAATCACAATTATGAATATCAAAGCAAGTTTGACAATTTTCTATATAAATTAAACATTAACTTTTAAAATATCCTGGCTTCCATAATTATTATCCAATATAATTAATACCTAACATTAATTCAAAGCTTTAATCTAAACCCACAGAAATTTAATAATAATTTCTAATTTTATTTTGATTTTTAAATCTTATTTCATAAATTGATTCTTTATTATTTCATTCTTTAATAGCTACTTAAAAGCAAGTTAAGGTCTTAAGAATTTTTAAGGAGATATGATATAATTAAAAAATGTGAACCGAATGAGTGAATTTATTTCATTATTTTTAGGAATAAACAATATTTTGAAAGAATTTTAAATCTATTAGGTATTTCAAAATCTTATCTAATAAAAATTTTTTTTTAGTATTTCTTAATTAGATT